ACTTTGATATAATTATAATGACATAGGATGTCACTTTGATATAATTATAATGACATAGCATGCCACTTTGATATAATTATAATGACATAGGATGTCACTTTGATATAATTATAATGACATAGCATGTCACTTTGATATAATTATAATGACATATAGAATAACAACTTAACTTTATTGTACATAAAGTTGGTTTTTGTTTTCCAGTTCTTTACTAACTTACACCTTTATCGGTATTGTATGATATTGATAGTTCAATTAAACGAAAATCTACACAATGGGAATCTGGGATCTCTCCACCGCATGAAATCAAACCTTGGATTCTAGCGTTGTAAGATAGTAAACTTACCGCTGACCCATCGAGGGGACACAATTAATAGAGTGTCTATTATATTCGAATCTAGTGATTCGACTATCCGGAAAAACTACCTAATTATCACCACTGGACACTATTAATAGAGTGTCCATTGTGTCTGTATTAACGACGTTTCACTGTATGTGACCTTTAAAATAAAGCCACTGAATGACCACTTTTCTTAAATATCACGAGACTGTGTTGAAATGTCGAGGATGGAGAGTAGAAATAATTACTGATATTTCAAACGTTCGTTATTCTACAGTGGTTTTGATATTTGGAATGAAAGGGTAGAGATAATATGGAAACCAACACCCAGTAAAATATCTTACACCAGCTAGGACGTAAAAAAGAGTGTTTTATTACATAAAAACCTGGTGTGGAGAGAAAACAGTTGTGTTTATTTGGAGAGAGGCGAACTACCAAGGTTGTTTCATCAGTTAAAAGTAAGGTTTGTTAGTAAATTCTCCATTATAACACTTTGTAAAATAATGTTCTCGTAGTAAATTATGATACAATAAACATGAACATTTCATGCTTTTAAATATGTTTAACTTCAGAAGTGTTACACATGTAACAACATAGTAACTTTAGAGGTGGTACACACGTAACAACATAGTAACTTTAGAGGTGGTTCACATGTAACAACATAGTAACTTTAGACGTGGTACACATGTAACAGCATAGTAACTTTAGACGTGGTACACATGTAACAACATAGTAACTTTAGACGTGGTTCACATGTAACAACATCATTGCATTAGGTAACGGATTCCATATGACAACGCCAAGTTTGACTTGATTTCGCTGTCGTTGTTGTTGAGAAGAACACTAGTGAGTCAACTTGGAAGATAACTCTTCCACTGTTCTACCATGAGGGCCGCGTTATTTTCTGTAGGAAAACAATGTCAGCATTACTTATATTTTCCCACTCTGTTTGATTGTCACCACTTCCTCGTTTCTCTACTTTTACTCCTGACAGCAGCGGTTAAATATAGAGAATCTTTCTGTTTTAAGTAGTGGCAAAAATAGAAACACCCAAAAAGGTGTTTGGTTGAGTTCAGAAGACACAGAAGCTGGAAGGATGTTGGTGTTTCAGCAAAAGACAAATATAGTAAACGAACTGAAGTGATAAATGTTTCAAGGTTCCTCTCTAATTTCAAACTATAGAAAGAGAATCTATATAGATATAATAGTACTGTCTATTGTATGAAACTACTTCTATATAAATACAATAATACCGTCTGTTGTATGTAACTACTTCTATATAAATATAATAGTACTGTCTGTTGTATGTAACTACTTCTATATAAATATAATAATACTGTCTGTTGTATGTAACTACTTCTATATAAATATAATAATACTGTCTGTTGTATGTAACTACTTCTATATCAATATAATAGTACTGTCTGTTGTACGTAACTACTTCTATATAAGTATAATAATACTGTCTGTTGTATTTAACTACTTCTATATAAATATAATAATACTGTCTGTTGTATGTAACTACTTCTATATAAATATAATAATACTGTCTGTTGTATGTAATTACTTCTCTCTCTCTATATATATATGTAATAATGGTACTGTTTGTTGTATGTAACTACTTCTATATCAATATAATAGTACTGTCTGTTGTACGTAACTACTTATATATAAGTATAATAATACTGTCTGTTGTATTTAACTACTTCTATATAAATATAATAGTACTGTCTGTTGTATGTGACTACTTCTATATAAATATAATAATACTGTCTGCTGTATGTAACTACTTCTATATAAATATAATAGTACTGTATGTTTTATAACTACTTCTAAATTGTCCAGTGGTGTAGATGGTGTTATAGTGAAGGAGGTACATGATCCAGTTGTGTAGATGGTGTTATAGTGAAGGAGGTACATGATCCAGTGGTGTAGATGGTGTTATAGTGAAGGAGGTACATGGTACAGTGGTGTAGATGGTGTTATAGTGAAGGAGGTACATGGTCCAGTGTTGTAGATGGTGTTATAGTGAAGGAGGTACATGGTCCAGTGATTTAGATGTTGTTATAGTGAAGGAGGTACATGGTCCAGTGGTATAGATGTTGTTATAGAGAAGGAGGTACATGGTCCAGCTCTATAACAACATCTACAACAAAGGAGGTACATGGTCCAGTCTATAACAACATCTAAACCAGGACCATGTACCTTCTTCAGCTCTATAACAACATCTACAACAAAGGAGGTACATGGTCCAAGTGTTGTAGATGTTGTTAAAATAAAGGAGGTATATGGTCCAGTGGTATAGATGTTGTTATAGAGAAGGAGGTACATGGTCCAGTGGTTTAGATGTTGTTATAGAGAAGGAGGTACATGGTCCAGTGTTGTAGATGGTGTTATAGAGAAGAAGGTACATGGTCCAGTGTTGTAGATGTTGTTTTAGAGAAGAAGGTACATGGTCCAGTGTTGTAGATGTTGTTAAAATAAAGGAGGTACATGGTCCAGTGTTGTAGATGTTGTTAAAATAAAGGAGGTACATGGTCCAGTGTTGTAGATGGTGTTATAGAGAAGAAGGTACATGGTCCAGTGTTGTAGATGTTGTTAAAATAAAGGAGGTACATGGTCCAGTGTTGTAGATGGTGT